TTGCAATTCCTACTGTGACTGAACAGGTACTGAGTTGGATGATCAGCCATGATCATATTGAACGGTGGAGTCAGCTCGATGGGCTGAATGGCCTACAGCTGCTCGCAGTTTGTATGGTTCTCTGTCTACTATGAGTGTACCGTGTGCTGTGGGGCAGACAGGCCGCACGTTTGAGAGAGTGTGTGTGTGTGTGGTGTGTGTGTGTGTTGGGGAGTGTGGGGTGTACGTGTGTGTGTGTGTGAGTGAGACAGAGAGAGAGAGAGAGAGAGAGAGAGAGAATGTGAGTTGAAAAGAAGTGAAGGCGAGCATGTGTAACAAACGTGTGTGCGAAAGAGTATGTGAGAGAATAAGAGCATGTACAAAAGGGAGAGAAGTGGGGCATGTGTGGGAGAGAGCACGTGTGTGTGAGAACACGTGAGAGTCTGTGGGAGAGCACGTGTGTGTCTGGGAGAATATGTGTGTTTGTGGGAGAGAGCGTGTGTGTGGAAGACAGCATATGTTAAAGTTAAAAGGTGTTTGGAATATAGTGAGCAATGCAGTAACTCTCACTCTGTGTCTGTGCTCTCCCCCTCCGCCCCACCCCTTCAGCTTTCAGGAAGAACAGATGTCCGAGCATGCTGTTTTAATTCAATAGGCACCCCCAGGTTGTGAGAGTGAGAGGCGAACAGCTTTACAGAGCCAGCACGAGATGTGTGTGCTGAAGTCACAGCTGAGCTTGTTATGACTGGTTCATGACTTACCGTGTCAGAGCTGACAGTGAAGTCCTGACTTGTATCTGTAAACAACTGCACTGGTAGCTACAATGCTTTCACCAAGCAGCCCGAACCTGCAAAGAGGAAAAGCCAAAAACAATCTAAGCCTAGTCATCGGCTCCCTGCATTTCAGGGTTTGCATATTATTTTGATCAGGGCTGATGGACACATCCTCGATTCACATACCACACCCAAAAGTGCACGCAGTCCTGCCCACTGTGTGTCAGTGGGACCCAGTCTTCAAAGCAGTGTCACTATAAACAGCAGATCACCAACTCAGTCATTAAAGATTTGAAGTATTCCAATTCTCAGTGCATACAAGGGTTTGTAAGACCACTCCACGGCCCGACTCTAAAGCCCAGCCTGCTCAGTACAACACCCAGGGTTTAAGGCTCCAGAGTTCCTGGCTGTCTTCAGGGCAATCTTGACCAAATTTAATCGACCGGGCAATATTAAAACGTCAGCAGTACCTCCACAAACACCATTGTACTCATTTACCAGGAAGTTTAACCAGGTTAAATGTTAAATGTAATTAGACGGGAGGCCATGGCCTAGTGGTATTATCACTGGACTGTTAACAGAGACCTAGGTAACATTCTGGGGACCTAGGTTCGAATCCCACCATGGCAGATGGTGGAATTTGAACTCAATAAAATATCTGGAATTAAGAGTCTAATGATGACCATGAATCCATTGTCGATTATCAGGAAAAACCCATCTGGTTCACTGATGTCCTTTAGGGAAGGAAACTGCCATCCTTACCCGGTCTGGCCTACATGTGACTCCAGACCCACAGCAATGTGGTTGATTCTGAACTGTCCTCTGGGCAATTAGGGATGGGGCAATAAATGCTGTCTTGCCAGCGATGCCCTCATCCCATGAATGAATAAAACAAAAGTGTGCTGCCCACAACAGTAGCAAAGCCTAGCTCACACACTGAGATGACACGGCTTCTGGATGGAGTGATCGCATTCTGAGATACACAGCCACACTTACCCCATTAAACAATACCAGGCTGAAATTGCACCACTCAGATGGCGTGTTTCTGGGCCCTGTTCTTCAAAGTATTTGCAGACATTTGAAACCGGGTTCCCGATAGGAGCAGGAGTTGACTTCCCATGGATAAGACTTTATTTTGGTGATGAACCATTTCCTGTTGTAACATTAAAATACCAAGCTGCAATAAAGAAAAAAAAATGCACAGAGAAATTAACTGTCGTGACAAGTTATTAACAGAATGTTTCACCTTCCTGCTAACATAAATGCACGTTCAGTAGGAACATGAGAAGGGATCAAATCGCAATGAGCTGAGCGAGAAATTAGCCAACAAAACCAGAGCGGGAGACTCTGCTTCACAATGTGTACACAAACACAGACAACTGGCAGGAAACTCACAGACTGAGAGCACGGACAGGAAACTCACAGACTGAGAGCATGGACAGGAAACACACAGCCTTAGAATACACACAGTACCTACAGGCTGAGAGTAGAGACAGGGAACTCACAAATGGAGAGTATGAACAGGTAACTTACAGCCTGAGAATATACACAGGAAACTCGCAGACTGGAAACTCAAACTGGAAGTTCACAGACTGAGAGTACAGACAGGAAACTGACAGACTGGGAGGATGGACAGGAAACTCACAGATTGAGAGTACAGACAGGCAATCAAAGACTGAAAGTACAATGAGAAAACTCATAGAGTGAGAATATGGACAGGAAAATCACAGGCTAAGACTATAGACGGGAAAGTCAGACTGAGAGCACAGACAGGAAACTCACAGATGGAGAGCACGGAGAGGAAACTGACACTGACATACACTGAATACAGTGACAGAGAATATGCACAGGAGACACACATAATGAGAGCATAGGCAGGAAATTCACAGATGGACAAAATAGACAGGAAACTCAGAGACTGAGAGTTTAAACAGTAAAGTCCCTCACTGAGAGCAAAGACAGGAAACTCACAGTCCAAGCACATAGACAGTAAAAACACAGCCAATATACACAAGAAACTCATAGACAGAGTGGACACAGGAATCTCAGTCACTGACAGTACAGACAAGTAACTCACAGACTGAGAACGAGGACAAAAAGCACAGGCTGAGAGTAGAAACAAGGAACTCACAGACAGGGAGCATGGACAGGAATCACAGACATGGAGAGTGAAGTCATAGACTATGGGCACAAACAGGAAACTCAGACTTGAGAGAATGGACAGGAAACTCACAGTCCGAGCGCATAGACAGTAAAAACACAGACAATATACACAAGAAACTCACAGACAGAGTGGACACAGGAATCTCAGACAATGAGAGTACAGACAAGTAACTCACAGACTGAGAACAAGGACAAAAAACACAGGCTGAGAGTAGAAACAAGGAATTCACAGAGAGGGAGCATGGACAGGAATCACAGACATGGAGAGCACACAAAGGGAAGTCATAGACTATGGGCACAAACAGAAACTCAGACTTGAGAGAATGGACAGGGAACTCACAGACTGATAGCACACACAAGAAACTCATGGAGGAGAAGACAGGAAAGTTACAGACCAAGAATAGACACAGGAGACACACATAATGAGAGCATGGACAGGAGAGTCATAAGCTGAAAGTACAATAGGGAAACTCACATACAGAGAAGGCAGAAAGGAAACACATAGACTGGGAATATGGACTTGAAACCTACAGACTGAGAGTACAGACAGGACTCTCACATGCTAGTTGTACAGTGAGCAAACTCAAACACTGAGAGCATGGACAGGAAACTCAGGCTGACAGCATGGACAGGAAACACACAGACTGAGAGCATGGACAGAAAACTCAGACTGACAGCACGGACAGGAAACACAGACTGAGAGCATGGACAGGAAACTCACAGACTGAGAGCATGGACAGGAAACACACAGACTGAGAGCACGGACAGGAAACTCACAGACTGAGAGCACGGACAGGAAACTCACAGTCTGAGAGCACGGACAGGAAACTCACAGACTGAGAGTACCGACAGGAAACACACAGACTGAGAGCACAGACAGGAAGCACACAGGCTGTGGCATTACAGGAAGAGATATCGGAAATGGTATTAAAGGGAGAGATGTTACATGGAGACCTATTGTAGGGAGAGGCATTAGAGGGAAAGTTGTCACACAAAGTGATTTCACAGGCAGTGATAATAGGTGAGTTATATTCCAGGGAGAGGTAGTAGATGGAGAAATATTATGTGGTGTCATTTTATGGGGAGAAGTGTTCAAGGGGTACAGATTGGAAGCTCACAGGCTGTGCACACTTACAGGAAGTTCAGAGACTGATAGTACAGGCAGGAAGTTTACAGTCTGAGAGTACAGACAGGAAACTCTCAGGGAGAGGTATTACAGGGAGTGATATTAGATGAAGTCTTATTAAAGGGAGAGATGTTAGAGGGAGATGAATGATGGGGAACGTTGTCACACTAAGTGGCTTTACGGACAGAGATAATAAGGAATGATATTACAGGGAGAGGTATCAGGGAGATATATGATGTGGAGCGAAATTATGGGGAGAGCTGTTAAAGGAGAGATGTACAAGGATCATATTACAGGTAGTGGCATTACAGGGCTTGGCATTATGAGGTGATGCATTACAGGGAGATGTATTATCGAGAAAGAAATACTTGGAGAGGTATAACAGGGAGTGTATGATAGGGAATTATAGAGAGAAGTGTTCTTGGGAGCTGTATTACAAGGTGGGGTATTAAATGGAGATGTCTTACAGGGTGAGATTTTAGAAGGATAGGTCTGACAGGGAGAGCTATGACATTGAAACATATTGCAGGGAGAGTTATTATGGGGAAAAGTATTTACATTGTTGGGCTCAAATACTGAACGGGCTCTTTAAGGTCTGATCAAAATGATTAAAGGAAGACACATGCACTTTAGCATGAAACAAATTTATGAGGTTAATCTACATAATATATATTAGCGATATCTGCAAACTAATGAGTGACTCTATTAGCTTAAAGTACATAATATACATTTATAAAGGAACAAGTGAGTCTGACACTGCTTTCTATCCATCGGAACTGGTGACAGTTGGAGCTGTATTTCAGATTCCTC